GAGAGCGGCACGCGGACGCATCGTTACGACTGGTTAATCGTCAACTCTTACTCTTACGAAGCCAATGAACGGGGTTTAATTTGTTAGAAATGGTTTTGGCATCGAAATTGCAAATTCCGTGATTGCTAAAGGTGTAACTTCAAATATCCGAATCAAATTCCCGAAGTGAATTCGAACGTAGTTAATTTCGGGAATTTGATCAAATTACAGGTTTGCTAAATGTCTCTATTATATACAAATTTCCTTATATTTCTTTCCAGAGTAGTACTACGTAGTACTAGTAGTACTGCACAACGGATCATGAAACTTCCATTCCTCATAATATCAACCAATACTATCAACAACACCTTGTTGCATGTCGCCTGAATGAAAGATAACTTTGACCCAGCCAAATTCGTCGGTATTTCAAGAGAGACAATGAATTTACAACATCATTTCAAGAATCTACAATTACTACGTAACGTTCGTACAAAACTTCAACTTCACATGTCGCATATGTTACCATGCACCTTACAATTTCCAGCTTCGTACACTTTTTGCCCGTACGCTTAAAACCCCCTTGGGTTTACATATAATGCGTGCCCCTAAACCACTTGTGTTTTCATATAATGCCGTTAACGATAACCACTGTCCATGCACATAACCCCTTAGATGGAGTATGTGTGTGTAACAGGTTGACACACCGATCAAACTGATCCTGATATTCCAAAGCTTACAAAGTTTGAGTATAGCATTTGTAGCCATGATTGGAGTTGTATATTCTTGCCAGAAGTTGTACAATTGTATAGTGTGTCAAAGTGTATTTGGGTATGAGGGTGAAATTTGACAGGATTTAAAAAAATATAAAAATGATATCTTAGGGTGTATGCGGTTTCAAGATAACATTGTTTGATCGTTTTTAGCGTCTTCGGAGCGCTACATTTTTCGCATTCACCTTTTCTTGCTTGTGTTTTTGTAGGAAAAGTTAAGGCCAAAGGCACCCTCGAGACTGTCGGCCACTGTAAACAGTCAATCGTCGGAATTTGCTGACATGGGCGAGTGTACATGGCTTACAATGAATCTCTTGATTCTGTTAATGTTATATAATACTACAGAGAACCCCGGAAATATCCGACAGGTGTTACAGCAAATTTTGTATGGGGATGTCGCCAGAGTAATAATATTCAGTATTAGAGAAAAATTCATAAAGCATGGAACTTATCGAACGTCATCTAATAGAATAAGCCTTTCATCCACATGTCATCCACACGTCATCCACAATATATTAACATCCACAATATATTAACAGTAAAATACTACGAAGCCCACCACACTATAATCATGTGTCGACACTATTTAAAATCGCAGAACACTAGAGATAATAGAGACTTTTAGCAAGTGCGAAATCTTGACTTTCCAGACTTAAACTTCGATTCGAACTTCGAAGCTTGCAGATTTTGTTCGGAAACAGGTCTGAAAAGTGAGGAAGTCCTCACACTTTTGGCCTCGAAGTCCGCAGACATCTGACTACTTTCCGAGCCAATCAAATTGCTCTATTGAGGTTTGCTCGCGAAATGTCCACTCACACCAACATGCTCCGACTCGCTTCAGCCGACGCATAAGTAGTTAAGACTATCTAGTGTTAGGATAGTGCACAAGCGCGGTTATGTACAGTGATGCAGGACGCTAGTCTGAGTTTGTAGCTCAGGGCAGTACATCACATTATACTCCCCGCCGCCGCGCACCAGCCCTTGATGATTGCCGCCTGATCACATTATGCCAAGGCATGGACGACGGGCGGCGAGCTCGGTCCTGACTACGTAAACCTATGTTTGGTCGCCACGATACTTGATGGCCAAACAGAGGGAGAATCTTGA